TGCAGCGGGGAGCGCTGGCCATGGGGCGGAGGAAAGGTCGCTTTTCCCCATGCTCAGCACCAACTCCTTCCCTGCTGTGGAGCAGGGGGTTGGGGCTGTATGCTGCCCCCCCCACCTTTATTGTGGGGCTGGGGGGGCACTGGGAGTGAGCAGGTGCACGGGGCCCACACCAGTGTCCTGGGGCCAGTGCCAGCAGGGCCTAGAGTAGGGCAACAGTAGTACAGGGTCCCAGCCAGCAGGGGCTCTATGGAGCTGGGCCAGCTCCCCCCTCTCCCTGCTGCTGCAGCCCAACCTGGCTCCACAGACCCCTGCCAGCCTGCAGCCCGCTCTGGGCCTCACTGGCACTGGCCCTGAGACATTGGTCCCAAGATGGTCACCAGGGGGTGGGGCTACCCAGGCGGCCCTCAACAGCTTGCCAGAACTGGGTAAGCATCCCTCCGCCTGAAACAATTGCCTGTCTTTGTTGTAATGCATTGCTAAAGTCTTTATAGAGTTGCTAAAGACCCTAGGAGGCCTATGCTTGCCGCTGGGGGTGGGTGGGGTTGTTTAGTCTTCTTTCTTGCAAGAAATTCTGGCTGCACACTAGCACTGGCCAAGCATTTGACCTTCCTCCGTCTAAGAACAGTCCACCCTGCAACTTTCCAGTCATGCCATGACTCCATACAAGTCACGTGGTCATCAGTAACCAGGAAGGGCCAGTAATCAGCCTCTTGCCCTCCCACTAAGCAGCCCTCCATCCATCCATCCGTATCATATCAAGGGATTACTCAAGGGACCTTGGCAGCATATTGTAAATTGGTGTTCTATCCTACTGTATTGTGTTTGGTGGCAATGGCTGTACCGTAAAAAAAAAAAAAAAAAGTATTCACCAGTTGACTACCACTGGCATTGTCAAGTAAAACAAAAATAATGTATACTGTTTTAGCTTTATTGTGATTTCTCAGTTGAACTGATTGCAATTCAATTTATTGTGAGAAAAAATAAAGTTGAGAAACAAAAAAATTTGATTTGTACTTGCTCCTGCTTGATTTCAGGGCATGGACCTGGGACCGGGGGACCAGTTTACAGCTGTCCAGGGGTGGGAGTGCAATAGCTTCCCAGGCTGGGCACAATGCTGGTCAGGGCCCATATTTCAGATTGGTTAGTCTATCCTCCAGGCACCTCAATAATATGTCTAGGGTTAGTCATCTGCTGCATAACACTTCTGGCCTCTCTGTAGGGAGCAGAGTGCTTTTTGAAACCCTGGCCTTGGCTGATTAGCAGCTCCCTATTAGGGTGACTCCTTGAGGTAGCTGAGACCCATCTGATGAGGGCATACCAATACCTAGTGTAGAGCCCCTGGCAGGAATTATCCAGTGTTCTAACTTGAAATGCAAAGAAATTTCTTGAATTTGGATGAAATTAAGTGTTCTCCCACAATGATGCTTTCTTTGAATACACTTGATTCTGCAGAGGCCTAGAGGTAGCTGAAGAGATTGCCCTGGGAGTGCTGCTGCTCATTTCCCTCTCACCTTCTCCCTGTCTTTTGAGAAGGTGGAGAGGAGAGATGGCAAGGGAAGACAAAGCAATCCTGACCAAAATCTGTTGAGCTCTTTCCAGGGTGGGAGAGGGTTGCAGCCGGCTTGTGGGGGTGGTCTCAGCTGCCTGCGGAGGGTTCCGGATTGAAAGTATGGTCTGGGGTAGAAAGGTAAGAAAGATTTATTGACTTAACAAAAACACAACTACGTGTAGTAACAAAACAAACAATGACAGACAAAAGCAATTTGTGTCGGCAACATATCGGCAGTCCCCTCTGATGCCTGATACACAGCAAGCTTCTCTTTCCACAAAGTTCAGCGAAGTCAGGTGTCCCTGAACAACACTGTCTGAGGGGTACTGGGAAGGACCCTGGAATGCAGTCCTTGGGCTCCTCGAGGTCCATGGGCCCACTGATCCAGGCAACAGCTAACTAATCCTTTTCAAAGAGCTGTATCTTCCTTCTGAATGGTGTCCAAATATTCCAGCTCATTTAGAGCTTCTGAATTATACGGATAACGAATGACCACTCAGATTCCTTTTACTTCAACTGTCCTTAGACTGACCATTAGCAGTACAAGCCTTACATTCCTTTGATAAGGTAATTTTAACTGCACCACAGGGCCTTACTACTTCTAGGCTTTGCTAAATTTACTAGGCCTTACTTTATGCAAGGCCTCACTACATCTTAGACTTTAATTAGGTTTTTAGCAACAACATATAGCTTAATATCTAAACAAATACAGAAAAATACTTGGTCTTATCTTCATAGGGCCTTTATCAAGCACTTTTAATCACACAGACATAATTTCAGCTGTCACAGGGGGGGCGCGGTCTGCAACCTCAGCTACAAAATGTGCTGCATTGTGTGCGGGCCGACTCCCGATCTCGCCTGGGTCGCCATGTGCGAGCTCTCTTCCG